GACTTCCACCAGGAAGTGCCTGGGCTCGAAGTTTGCCTGACTCAGGAGAGGGGACTCCCTGCCGATGTTGCTCTCTGATCTAAGGAGGATGACAGACCTTCAACTGAGCATAACGATTTAAAGACTTTGGGCGTCAAAATATGCCCCTCATTAATATTTTAGGTGCCCTACTATTCTGCTTATCAAATTGTGGATATAGGTAAAAATCCGTACGGTACTGAAAAGCCAGTGTCCGGGCAAATGTTTTACCTATTATCTCAAGCCCTTGTGATTGTTGTGCATGCACCATAGAACTGCTATTAAATTGTAATGTGATATCATGTAGCCCTACAATGACACATTTTACTCTATCATGAAAGCAACATTAAAATGTTCAAAGTAACTTACCTATTCAGCCACACTTTGAATGATGCAGTGTCCTAAAGAAATTAGGGGAAAAAAGCACATCAGACATTTTCTCTAACTGAGAACAGGTCTCAAGGACAGCTAAGCCCTCTAAGGGATCTCTGCACTGTTCCCCTCCACATGAGTGGAGGTGAAGGCCTACATTGCAGTGAGTGAGGTTCAAATGACCCAATTCTGTCACCTTCATGAAGTTGACGTCCTCTGTTTTTTGCAGGGCCATCTGGACAGAGCTCAGTAATTGTTTGGTGTCCTCCTCAGTCTTACTCAGCCGCAAGATCTGAGCTGAGCTCTCTGCAGAGAACCTGGAGTGGGCCGCGTCCAGCTTCTGCAGAGTCCTGTCCATGTCCTGCATCAGGAGCTCTTGCATTTTCCGGAAACGTAGGTTCACTGTTTCCCTGACTTTCCGGAAACTCTTCTGCAACACAAGTAGTTTGGGATATGTCACATGCTCAGAGAGCTGAATGACACTTTGAGATCCCGAAAACCTCAGAGCAGCTGGGGACACCGGCCACCCAGCGCTCAGAGAGGTCCTTGGGCTCCGACCGGCAGCTGTCCTACCTCTGCCTGCCGTTTATTCACCATTGCTCGTGACAAGGTTTCACTGATGGCCCACATCCGCTCCTCTATCTTCCCCTGCTGCTCCATGAATGCTTGCTAGAAGAAGAGAAAAGAGTTGGGCGCTCAGCCAGCACCTCTCACATGTCTGTCACCCAGGTGCTGCCCACTGCACTAAACAAGAGTTCTGTCCAAATGAGCCCACTCACCCTCATGCCATTGCGACGGACCTCCACGTCGCACACCGCTTGACCATGGCTGGGGACACACCTGGCCAAGTAGCACTTCTGGCAAATCACTGTGTTTTCCTCATCACAGTGGTATAGCTTGTAATTGCCGTGCTGAAGGCAGGTCCAGCTCTGCAGGTCTTCCGCATTGACCAGCAAATGCCCTTCCTGGTCAATGTGCATCGGAACGTGGGCTGCACAGCAACCTTCAGCACAACGAAGGCAGAATTTCTGGGCCTGTTTGCCACACACTGCACAGCCTGATGCCACAAATGGCATGGGGGGCTCCAAATCCTTGAACCGCTGGACAATGCTGGCTAACTTTAGGTTCTCTGAAACAAATGGGTCCCTGTTGTAGGTGCGGTTGCACTCTGGGCAACGCTTTGCACCTGCATTGTCAGCCCAAGCCCTGGAGATGCACTCCTGGCAAAAGTTGTGCATGCACGGCAACTCCAGAGGCTCATCAAAAAGTTGAAGGCAGATGGCGCATGTCAATTCTTTCTCTAAGTTCTTCCAGACTGTGTCCATCTCTGCTTCTTTGATTTACTACAGCTAAGTGTACCAGAACGCGAAGCACAGGTGCTTATAAGCTGCCTTGAATGTGACGTCGATCGGCGAAAGATGACCGAATACGAGTCCTAGAACGCAGCACCAATGTGACGCGGTCGGGTTGCTAGGTAACAGCCGAAGGCGGGTCCTCAACTCACAGTCCTACGTCACCAACCTTCAACAAGGCACGTATAAAAGATATTAGTGTTGCGGGACCATTAAAATGCCCCTCCACACCGCTGAATAAAACCAGATCGATTGTGCAAACAATGCAGAGTCTCATAACTTACACCGCATTAACGGGCACCATCCCGCAGCCCGATAGCATTTGTAATCCTTAATTTTGGCTCTTTCGTGCCGTTGCAGTATACAAATATTTTGATCTCTTTGGGTGTGGGTCCTGAATAGCCAAAATGAACCGGATTTCAGGGGCAAATGAACGGGAACTTTTATTACACAGTCACCACTACAACCGCCAAAACCTAAACGCAACCTAAACGACTGAAGTACACCAATTTTACAATCGTACAAGTAGCAGCATCGCCTGATGGGAGGCAGAGAAGGTACCGTATTTGTTTAACTCCACTTCAACCCCTGATTACATATACAGTTACACGCTATTTTCTGAATTACACAAAATATTATTTATATAATTCTAGTTACGATAGATAAGCTTTATTGACTGTTGGAGGAAATTCTTTACTTTGTGTTAAGCCAAACACTGCTGTTGTACATTTTATTGATAGTTCTAACAGAAAAGCGATGAATTGATAAACCATACAGTACTTCCACTCGTATCCTACATCATTTCAGGGTGCGGGGTGGTGGTGGGCGGATTGATCCAAGTATTGATAATAATGTTGGTATTGATATTGATCAATACCAATTTAATGAGATCAATACTTTAGTTTTAGTTTCTCTCCTGAATGCACTCTGGCTGTCCATGCTGTCCATGACGGCAAGTGCTACTGCTCTCACTTGCCGCTCCCAGCTTTCACAGCGCATAGCAGGCTTCGCCTCTCCTCCTCAGTCTCCCGATTTGATGTTGTACCGTCACGTGACTCAGCGGCGCCAGGCAAGCAAGCAGGCTCACTTGCGCGCGCACACACACGCGCTGGCAGAGGCCTTTCAATTTGGCAGAGAATATCCAGGTGGATTCACTGTCATTAACGTATCCTAGTCGTTGGTGGCTGTTTGTGCTCCGGATTGTATCCTACCCTCATTAAACCCCGAGTTTTCCCCGTATCCTGGACTCCCGTGCCTTCCTTTATG